TACAAGACACTCCTGCAAGAAACCAAGAGACCTACATAAGTGGAAAAACATACCTTGCTCATGGATAGGTAGACTCAACACTGTGAAAATGTAAATTCTACCCAAAGTGATCTACAGATACAATGCAATTCTCATCCAAATTCCACAACCAACTTCATATGGAAAGGGAAGAGGCCCTGAATAAGTAAAGCATTACTCAAGAAGAAGAACAAAGTGGAAGGCCTCAAACTACCTGATTTTAGAACCTATTATACCACCACGGTAGTCAAAACAGCCTGGTACTGGTACAACCCAGATACATAGACCAATGGAACAGAATTGAGAATCCAGACAAAAATTCATCCACCTATGAGCAGCTGATATTTGAGAAAGGCCCAAAGTCCGTTAATTGGGGAAAAGACAGTCTCTTTAACAAATGGTGCTAGATACCCATCTGCAAAAAACTGAAACAAGACCCATACCTCACATCATACACAAAAGCTAACTCAAAATGGATCAAAGACCTAAATATAAAATCGAAAATGATAAAGATCATGGAAGAAAAAATAGGGACAATGCTAGGAGCCCTAATACATGGCATAAACACAATATGAACCCTAAGTAACAATGCACAAGCACCAGAAGAGAGACTAAACAACTGGCAGCTCTTAAAAATCAAACACTTATACTCATCAAAAGATTTCACCAAAAGAGCCAAAAGACAACCTACAGACTGGGAAAAAACATTTGGCTACGACAAATCCGATCGGTGTCTAATCTCTAAAATCTACAAGATACTGCAAAACTTCAACAAAAACAGAACATAATGAAAAAATGGGCAAAGGATATGAACAGGCACTTCGCAAAAGAAGATATTCAGGTGGATAACAGACACATGAAGAAATGCTCACAATCATCAGACATTAGAGAAATGCAGATCAAAACTACAATATCATCTCACCCCAACAACGCTAGCATTAATCCAAAAAACAGAAAATAATAAATGCTGGAGAGGTTGTGGAGAGACTGGAACACTTATAGACTGTTGGTGGGAATGTAAAATGGTAAAATCACTTTGGAAATCGATTTGGCGCTCCCTTAAAAAGCTAGAAATAGAAGTACCATACGATCCAGCTATCCCGCTCCTTGGAATATATCCTAGAG